CCCGCCTAGAGAGATTGACTACTACTCACTGGAGATTCTACCTTCCTCCAGGCCCTCTTGAAAGCTTGTAAGCCAGTCACATTTTGCCTTTCAAGACCCCCACCCCATTTTGTATAGGCAATGTCCAACTTGCCCATTCCTGTCTACTGTGTGCGTGCAGGGGGTGGGAATGATTCTTGCTGTAAGGATTTGTATCCTCTTTTGAGCTACTGCTTCCATAGGTGTAGTTCAAGTTCATCAAATTGTATCAGATTACTCTTTTTTTCCTCTTCTGGTTGAGCTCTGATCATTCAGTCATTGAAGCCAGGACAAGTGGATATTATCTGCAAGTGTGAGTGCTCTTGTACATATGCCCTCTTGACGCTTCACATTCCCTTCTAGTCCTCTGTGGCTATGTCACTGACTCTGGGTCCGAGAGTCCACATGTCTTGCACACTGATAGCCAAGCAGGTCTTCACCCGGGTTCACAGGAGTCTATTGAACATTGTAGGTCTTAGCTCGCCACTTCATTGCTGTTTTTCCCTCACTTCTCCTTGTCGGTGAAGAGAGTGGTCACCAATCAGAGCATGTATTCGCATTCAGTGTTAGTCTTGGAATGGGGTTTGCACTGAGGGGACCCGACCACTTGCTTTGAAGTTTCTTGGACAAGCAATTTGCTTGTTTTTGTAGTAACAATCGGTCTGCCTATGTTGTTTTATATTTTTCCTGTAGGTCTTTCTTTCAAGGAGTATCTTCTGTTCTTCTAGCGGCTCCAGGCTGGTCTGCTTGTCATTTCAAGTGGAAATTTCCCATCTCTGGAGATCTGGATGTAGTTCAGGCTTCTACCTATAGTCTTATGTATTGCAGAGTCTCCGCAGGAAGTCTCCTTCACTGGGCACGTTGTATCCCCATTTTAGGTATTCCAATCAGTTACATCAAGAAGATGGAGTTACAAGCTTTCTATGGTGATGTTTCTGGCTATTCCTTTCTCTTCCCCTCCAGGGTCTATTTTATAACTCAAAAGACAGCCAAACATCTTAACATTATTCCCCTCTTTTCCCCATTCCAACCCTGTCTCAGTCTATGTATCCCAGAGCCCTGTGGTTCCAAGGTAGTGCATACATCATTATTTACCTCTATCCCAAACCCATTGAGACCTGCCTAATTGTTCTACCCCATGGGGTTTCCGTTTCCCAAGGCTGTCACCTTTTGCCTTGTCATCAATGAATACGTGATACCTTGCTGAATCAGAGTGTGAGGGACATTTTAGGTCTCAGCAGTCATTGATGATGTGGATCAGGGTGAGCGCCAGAAGAGTGGGCCTTCCTGGATGTTGCACATATGAAATTCTGCAGAGCTGTGAGGATGGAATCCTAGAGAGACTTGGCCTCACTGGGGGAGAATGAGACCTTTTATTGTGATAGGTATTCCTGTAGTCAGGAGAATAATTTACACACCAGGATTACTCTAGTATTTGTGTTGAGGAATGGGAATACACTGTTACATAAAACAAGAACCATCTCATATTCTATGGAGCTTCTATATCCTGGATGCCCCAGATACATAAATCTCTTAATGTGAAAGTGAGTTTTCACATATTTCTCTGGTGATTAACAACCCTGACACTCACAAAGGGTTATGAATGTAACTTCTGCCTTTAGGGGTTCCATTGGGACTCACCCTTCAGAGATTTGAGTGGGATTTTGCAGAGACTTTTAACTGTGCTTATTACAAGTTTAACGTTTCATTGTGATACAAATGAACTCATACGCATTTCTTCTTTTTTTAGTGTTTTAATTTTTGGCATTATTTTTTGTTCCATAGGATCATAAATCAAAAGTTGTATCATCGATATAAACCGCTAGAGATTAAGACCTTACATATTTAGATGTAGAAAGATGCTGTACTAAATTATTAAATTGATCTCTGAGATTTTGGCACAGTAAACTAACGGCATGTGCTGCGTGGACAGGTTTAAGAAGTCTAAGTAAGTGTTCCTCACTGTGGATTGTAATATATGTGGATAATATGCAACATATACCAAGGTGCACACAGGTGTGCATAAGACCACACCTGTACATCTGTGTGCACTACCAATGCTAGCAACAATTTAATAAATGGTGGGAGGGCAAAAAAGTAACACTTTACAGAATTCCTGTTAAGAAATATTGAATTGATTACAACATAGAATTTGGTAAATACCACAGTAATTATAACCATAGGTATCAACCAATTAATATAAAATAGTAGCAAAATATGGTGAAGAAACAGAATATTAGCAGTCTCAAAGTGTTGTCTTATGAGAACCTTAATAATTAAAAGGTGAAAATAATGGACTCGATAATAGGACAGAATGAAAAGAAATGTACTAAATATAAAAATCAAAGTCTTAAAACCAAATACATAATCAGTACAATTAATTAAACACAGGACATGTTACATCAGTAAAAACCTTAAAAACCCAGAAAACCCGCATTTGATCAAGACTGGTCATTGTCCTTATTATAATAACCGAAGAGTTAGAAGGACAAAATGACACGTGAACAGAGACAGTCTGCACAGCTGATGAGGACACATCCCTGCAGTAACAAACACGCTGTCATGTGTCACTGAGAATCTCTGCCCAAGTTCAGTGCCTTCTTTCAAGGCAGAGTCCCATGATCACAGTGTGGATGGAACATCCAGTTTCTGACATAACCTCTCTTGAATTGTGATACAAGAGTGGAAGTAACAGCTTCCCCACGTCACTCACAAGCACAGCGACCTTCTCCTAAGTGAGCAGAGCTCTTCTATTGTAGTATGATAAGCATCTAAATCCTCTGCTGCGTTTGTTACATCAATAAGGGTTCTTTCCTTTTTGGAATCATAGCAACTTTTGTGGAATCATGAGTAGTTCATTACATTAATTTGCACATTCCTCTCCACTGTGCATCCTTAAATATGAAGTGAGGGCTGAGTAACAAACATAGGATTACCCAAGTTGGCTACATTCATAAGGTCTCTGTTAAATAACTGTGAGTTCATCTCTTTCGCGAGAGATGGACAACTAGGAGTGGGTTCTCCATATTCCTTACACTCATAGTGACTTTCTCCATTGTGAGATCTCATATGTACAGTGAGGGATGAGGCATGAACACAAGTTATTACACACTGTTGACATTCAGATGGCCTCTTCCCAGTGTGGATTCTTCTATGTCTAGTGAAGATTGAGGCCTGCCTGAAGACTTTGCCACACTGTGTACACTCATTAAACCCGGTCTCCACTGTCAGTTTGTCCATGTGTAATGTGGTCTGAGAAATCCTTAAAGGCTGTCCTACATTCCTTACATTCATGGGTCCTCTCCCCACTGTGGTTTGCATGTTTACGGAGGGATGAGTACTTATTAAAGACTTTCCCACATACTTTACATTTATATGGCCTCTCTCCACTGTGGATTCTTCTATGTGTTATGAGGTGTGAGAGTCCATGAAAGCATTTCTCACAATCATTGCATTTATAAGGTCTTCTCCACTGTGGATTCTTCTGTCTTGTGAAGTTTCCTAATTCAATAAAGGCTTTCCCACACTGCTTACATTGATAGGGCCTCTCTCCACTGTGGATTCTTCTATGTGTTATGAGGTGTGAGACTCCATAAAAGCATTTCTCACAATCATTGCATTTATAAGGTCTTCTCCACTGTGGATTCTTCTATGTGTTGTGAGGGTTGACCCTTGAGTAAAGGATTTC